GGGAGGGGGGGGGGGGGGGAGGAGGGAGGGGGGGAAGGGGGGGAGGGAGGGGAGAAGGGGAGGAGGGGGGGGGAAGGGGAGGGGGGGGAAGGGGAGGAGGGGGGGGGGGGAACGGGGGGAGGAGGAGGGGGGAAGGGGAGGAGGGGGGAAGGGGGGGAGGGGGGGAGGGGAAGGGGAGGAGGGGGGGAAGGGGTGGAGGGGGGGAAGGGGAGGAGGGGGGGGGAAGGGGAGGAGGGGGGGGGAAGGGGAGGGAGGGGGGGGGAGGGGGGTGGAAGGGGGGGGGGAAGGGGAGGAGGGGGGGGGGGGGAAGGAAGGGAGGAGGGGGGGGAGGGGAGGGGGGGGGGGGGGGAAGGGGAGAGGGGGGGGGGAAGGGGAGGAGGGGGGGAAGGGAGGAGGAGGGGAAGGGGGGAGGGGGGGGGAAGGGGAGGAGGGGGGGGAAGGGGAGGAGGGGGGGGAGGGGAAGGGGAGGGAGGGGAGGGATTGGGGGGGGGGGGGAGGGGGGAGGGGGGGGGAGGGGAGGAAGGGTGGAGGGGAGGAAGGGTGGAGGGGGGGGAAGGGTGGAAGGGGTGGGGATAGGGGTGGAAGGGGTGGTAGGGGGGGGAAGGGTGGGATAGGGGGGGAAGGGTGGGGATAGGGGGGAAGGGTGGAAGGGGTGGGGATAGGGGTGGAAGGGGGGGGGGTAGGGGTGGATAGGGGGGATAAGATTGGGGGGGGGTAGGGGTGGGAAGGGGGGGGGGGGGGGGTAGGGGTGGAAGGGGGGGGGGGTAGGGGTGGAAGGGGGGGGGGGTAGGGGTGGAGGGGGGGGGGGGTAGGGGTGGAAGGTTGCTCTCACAGGGGGGTAGGGGTGGGGGATACAAAACCCAGGGGGGGGGATAGGGGTGGAGGGGGATATATGTTAATATTTTGATATATTGTTAAGTATGTAGGTAATGTTCTTTGTTGTGTTTCTTTTTTCTTTTCTTTTAATGTTAGTATAAATGGGAAATTGAAAATGAATAAAATATTTAAATTACAAAAAAAAAAAAAAAGAAATCTCAAACTCATAAAAAAGAATGCAGCTATAAATGGAGTAAGAGAGGATTGGCAACAAAGCAAGCATATACCAGCCGGCTTTAGACTTCTAAATACCGGCAACTTCCAACCTAGCGGATATCACAGCAAAAAAAAAAAAAGAAAAAACTATTCAAGGTCAACGGGAGCAGATGCATGCTGAAACAAGGCTGCCTGCTGAGTATTCAGCGATCGCTGTTGCTCGCTCAGTTACTATAGCAAAGTATGAATCATACATTTATGTCGCATGACTAAGAGCCGTCCAAAAGTAAGGGCAGCCGCAGAATCCCCCACAACTGATCATAAAGGGTGGCCCCGTGCTTTGGAAGACTTCTGTAAAGGACATCAAGTCAGATTGCTGCCCCTATCGCTGGCCTCTTTAGAAACATCCAGCGATGCTCAGAGCGAGCTCAAAAGAGAAACAAACATGTTTTGCAGGCAGCGAGCGCACTGTCTGGTGGGGCGATTTTTTTTGTCTAAGCTCTGGTGACAGTTCGCTGTCAGGGTGGAGGAGGGGGGGAGGAGAAGCGTTGCTCTCACAGTCACAGGGTAACATATAAAAAAAAAACATACAAAACCCAGGGGGATGTTTAAGGCCAAGTATTGGTTTTACCCGGAAAACATTGACGTTTCATAATCTTTAGTCAATGATCAGCAAAATAACATGACTTCCTAAGTTTACAGAAGGTAAGCTACAATTAACAAAGGTTCTCTTACACAATGGGAGGATCCGCACAAATCGGTCATAGATCGGCACTACCTACACCATGGGGTGGGCAACCTGCGGCTCTCTAGCTGTTGTGGAACTACATTTCCCATGAGGCATTGCAACATTACAAAACTGACAGTTACAGCTATGACTTGCAGAGGCAAGATGGAACTTGTAGTCCTGCGACAGCTGGAGAGCCGCAGGTTGCCTACCCCTGACCTAGACATTTCTATGACCAGTTTTTTTACCAATATTTATCAGAGCTCAGCTAAGGTCGGAAATAGCATGTCTATGCTTTTTCAGCACAGATCATAGTTTAATAAAAAAAAAAAATAATAATAATAATAAATAATATGTCTAGAAATATGAATAGGACTCACCAGCGTGGAGCACCATCTTTAAACATTGTTTATTAAAAAGAGGGAATAAGTGATTATAGAAGACCGCCAGAGCCGCTCTGCATACTCCTTACATACAGTAACACACATGATCTGTGCTTGAAGAGCTACATTGGAGGACTCCATAAAGAGTACCTGTCACTGCCATTGTTATCAAACAAGGGGACTTGTTAGCCTATTGTGATGGCAATAAAGTTTAAAAAAAAAAAAAAAGTAAATTATATATCACCTTGCTGCCCTCCTCAGACTAGGGTAGTCCGGACTCACTTTGTATAGTAACACAGAGTGTGTGCGCACCAGCCTGGTGCATTATCTTTAAACACAGTTTTTATTTAAAGAGAGGAAATCAGGGCTTATTCTCACAAACCAATAAAAAGGACATGCGTATCATAAATGTCCAAACAGATGACTGCCAAAGCCACTGTGCCTACTCTTTACATCCTGGAAAGTTGCCGCATGGGTCTGCAGATCCTGACATGTTTCGAGGAAGGTCTCCTCTTCATCAGAGCTACTGATGTGCAAAAATGGAAGCTCTGATGAAGAGGGGACCTTCCTCGAAACGTGTCACTCAGGGGGCCCCTGTCAGGCTCAGGGGGCCCTGTCAGGATCTGGGGGCCCGTGTGGCAACTTCCCAGGATGTAAAGAGTAGACACAGTGGCTTTGGCAGTCATCTATTTGGATATTTTATGATACGCATGTCCTTTTTTTTTGGTTTGTGAGAATAATTATCTATTTCCCCCCTTTTTAAATAAAAAACAGTGTTTAAAGATAATACACCAGGCTGGTGCGCACACTCTTTGTGTTACTATACATAGCGAGTCCGGACTACCCTAGTCTGAGGAGGGCATCAAGGTGTTATATAATTTACTATATGGGGGATGATTTTTTTTTTTTTTTTTAACTTTATTGCCATCCCAAGAGGGCTAACAAGCCTCCGTATATGAGAACAATGGCAGTGGCAGGTACTCTTTATGGAGTCCTCCAATGTAGCTATTCAAGCACAGATCATGCTTGAACAGCTGCATCCTCAGCTAATGACGGCTGTGGCTCCAGAAGCATTCACATGTGTTAGTTGATAAGTTACAGGAGGGATTTAGGGAACACATGTACCCAGAGTTCCTTCTGTTCCTCCTGCACAAGCTGTTTACCTGGAGGAACGGGAGAGCTTCTAGGGAATACCACAGGCAAATTTGTGCAGTGAGCTGCGCTTGCAGTTGTATTACTAACGGTATTTATTCAAGGAATGTACCAAAATTAATGCAAAAGTGGGCATAACTTTTTTTTTTTTTTTTTTAATTAATTAAACTTGCACAGGTCATTCAAATTTCATGCTGGGCAGTAGAGTAACTCCTCCTCCACAGTAACTCCTAATCCCACAGTAACTCCTCCTCCACAGTAACTCCTCCTCCACAGTAACTCCTCCTCCACAGTAACTCCTCCTCCACAGTAACTCCTCCTCCACAGTAACTCCTCCTCCACAGTAACTCCTCCTCCACAGTAACTCCTCCTCCACAGTAACTCCTCCTCCACAGTAACTCCTCCAGTAACTCCTCCCACAGTAACTCCTCCTCCACAGTAACTCCTCCTCCACAGTAACAGTGTCCTCCTCCTCCACAGTAACTCCTCCTCCACAGTAACTCCTCCTCCACAGTAACTCCTCCTCCTGTTTTTCATTGCAGGTAAATAATGGATTCCAAGCAGAAGCAACATGACGTCATTGAGTTCTAGATGGAGGGGTGCAGGCTGTCCAACATCCACAGAAGGCTACAGAATATTTACAGAGATGACAACATTGACAAGAGTCACCAATGAGAAGACTTTGCTCTTTCTTAATGGTGTCATCTTCATAAACACTCTATAGTCTTCTGTGGATGTGGGACAGCCTGCACCCCTCCTTAATCAAGATCTCAATGACGGCACGTTGCTTCTGCTTGGAATCCATTATATACCTGAACTGAAATTTTTTTTTTAAAAAAATGATGATTTACACTAAAAACATGTGAAATCTGAACAATCTATGTAAGTTTGGCCCCTTTTACAAAGGGCGGACCCATCAGCGCATCCGCTTGCTCAGTGGGGGATCGGTCTGCTGATCAAGCGGATGACAGGTCCGTGTCTGCTGCACTTATGCTGAGCGGACAAAGACACAGCCCGCTGCTCTCTATGGGCTGTCGGATGGAAACGGACCACCTGTCTGTTTCCATCCGACTGTCATCCGATCTGATCCGAAGGACTGGAGGGGAACGTCTTAGTGAAAGGGGCCTTAAAAAAAAAAAAAAAAAAAAAAGTTTTGCCCACTTTTGCATCAGTTCAGCCCGTGCATTTAGTGGAATCATTAAACAGTTAGGGTCTAATGAACAATGTAGTAAGTCAGATATCCGTACAAAATAATCCAATTATTATTTTATATACATTTTTGCCTGCAATGCAATAAAACGGTATGGGTAAAGCGTTTGCAAACTTTTTTTTTTTTTTTTTTTTTTTTAAGCAGGTTACGCTTACCTGCTCTGTACAAGGGTACTGCACAGAGAAGCCCTGACCTCCTATTCTTCCCCCCACCCCGTCGGCAATCTCGGCTCCTCTTCTTGTTGTGCTACCATAGGAAGCCACTTCCTATAGGGTGCGCCTGCGGGCTTCCCTTCTGAGCCGAGCTGTGTGCGTATATTGACACACACAGCTCCCCCTGCCCCCCAGGATTTGAATGAATGTAATAGGAGCCAATGGGCTTTGTGAGAATGTTTGAGGGGATGGGGGGGGGGGGGGGGGGGGGTCAGTGGTTTCTCTTTGTACTGTATTTTTAAAGAAAAATGTATGAATAAAAATATAAAGATGGGGTAACTTACAGCATATCTGGACAGTTGTCTGGCTTCTCCAGGAGTCCGCCTTCCATAACAAAGCGGAGAACCTGTTCATTGGACATGCCATGGTATGGCTGTTCTGCCAGCGTGGCGATCTCCCATAAGACAACGCCAAAAGACCTGAAATTGGAAAAAAAATAAAATAAAATATTGAAATATGAACTCCAGCCCTATTAAAAAAAAAAAAAAGAAAAAGAAAAAAAAGGGTGTTACAGGATGACCCGCTGATATGAGTATATCGGCGGGCCATCCTGAAACACCCTTTTTTCTTCTTTTTTTTTTTTTTTAATACTCATATTACATCCAGATACTCTCAGAAGTTAAAATCAATACATAATATTTTATTGCACATATTTTAGAAACAGAGACTTCATTCTTGAAACACCAAATACAGGATTATACGGTTCATAGTATAGAGGCAAGCACTTGTTTGTGTGACGCGTTTCGCGGTCAATACCGCCTCTTCAGAACACTATGCTCATGTATGGCAGGTATCTGTTACATATCTGCAATCAGAAAAAACATACACAACAGACATACATGCATAGGTATTTCTTTCCAGTGAAAGTAAAAATATTACATGCCGATTTCACCTTTGGAGAGTATCTGGATGTGATGAGTATATCAGCAGGACACCCTCAAACACCCTTTTTCTCAAAATTTTTACTGTGTTGATTCTGTGTGTGTTGGTGACCCCCCCCCCCCCCAACAATTTAATTTTTGATACCCCATCGCTGGTTTGTCAGCCTCACTTTTATACTCTAGCCAGGGGCGGACTGACAACTCATGGGGCCCCCGGGCAATAGGGGATCATGGGGCCCCTGTGTCCTTGCCCAAACTCAAAAAAGCCTATGAAAAAGGTACCAGGGGCATGTCATGGGGCCCCCTACTGACCCCGGGCCCTCGGGCAGTGCCCGAGTTTCCAATTGGTCAGTCCGCCCCTGACCCTAGCACAGTGAGGTTCTCAACCTTCCTAAAACGCCGTGACCCTTTAATACAGTTCCTCATGTTGTGGTGACCCCCAACCATAAAATTATTTACCCAGAAAATTATAATTCATGAGTGTCGTTTTACCTCCAATACTGCTGCTTTCAGCACAGTAGCTGCTTTTCAACAGAGTAGTTGCTGCTTTTTACACAGTAGCTGCTCTTTACACACACGGAAATGTGTTTTCGGAAATATGTGTCTTAGGGGACCCCTGTGAAAGGGTCGTTCGACCCCCAAAGGGGTCGTGACCCACAGGTTTGAGAACCACTGCTATAGGTTGCCTAGCATGTTTCTTTGGACTCCAGCCCGCCCTTTAGTTTTGCACGGTTGTACAGGCTCCTCCTGGACTGAAACTGCTTACCCCGATCCCATCGCACACTGTGAACTTCTCAGGGTGCCTTACAACAACTTTTTTGTCCAAAAGGTCATCTTTTTTTCTTTTTTTTCACTCCAAAATGGAATGTTAAAAGCCAAAGAAATGTTGAACTAATGGCAAATGTACGGAGAGTTTTTGTACGAATGTTCATTTGAAAATCTATTAGAGTATACCCAGCTGTAGTCAGTCCAGTAATGGACGATTCTTCCACAGCGCTTTCCTCCATCCAACATCATCCGTGACCTTTGTGAATGAATAACTCAGCTGTTTCTAAAGTACATTATCAGAACACATTAGATATCACTAATTACCAGACATCGGAGTGAATGGTGAAGACTCCATCCTTGAGAGACTCCGGAGACATCCAGCGTACCGGAAGGAGACCTTTCCCTCCCTTACGATAATAGTCTGTCTCGTAGATGTCTCGGGTCATTCCGAAGTCTAAAGAGGAGACAAAAACAACAGTTAGCAAAGAAAACCATGCATTCCCTGTACTAAGACAGCAACTTGTCTGGTTTCATCTACAAGCACAGAGGTCACCTGTAGGCGGTCTTCACTACAATAGGCCTCCGATCACACCATGCGAGGCGCGGCGGAGCACATAGGCGTTCCCGTCAGTGCCGCGGGACAAGGTCATCCAGCGCCAAGGTCAAAGATGCCAAACTGCGCCCCCTTCTTAGCTCATAATATGCACGTTTAGAGGATCCTACGCCCAGCAGTCGCTTGTTAACCACTTCAAGTCCGGAAATTTTCACCCCCTTCCTGCCCAGGCCAATTTTCAGCGCTATCACACTTTGAATGACAATTGCCGCGGTCATGCAACACTGTACCCATATGAATTTTTTAGCATTTTTTTTTAGACATAAAACTTTATTTTGGTGGTATTTATTCACCACTGGGATTTTTATTTTTTTTTGCTATATAAATGAAAAAGTCCAAAAATGTTGAAAAAAAGTGTTTTTCTTATAAAATTTTGCAAATAAATAAACTTTCTTCAGAAATCGTGGCCAACATTCAGTTATCTTTTTAGTAAGAAAAAAATATAACCCAAATTAGTTTATAACCAAAAAATTATAACATTTTTCAAAAAAAATTTTTTACATTTTTATATTCTTATTTATGTTTTTTTCTTTTTAATAACATGCTGTCACCCTAGCAGTACAGTGTCACCATAGTGACACTATACTACTTGTGGGGGGTGTTGAAGATAGTGGTTTTTTTTGTTTTTTTTTTTTTTTTTTACACCGATTGCTTTTACACCCATAAAGGCTGTAAAAGCAATCATTTCTCCTTCTCTCTGGCTGCATTATTGCAGCCATTGAGAAATACTGTGAGAGCTGTGATTGGTCACAGCTTGTCACATGGTACAAGCCTGTCATGAATAGTCTTGTACCATGTGACCTCTGTGATCATTCACAGATTTCACATGTAGTAAGCAATGATGTCAGAAGTGCTGGCCAATCAGTGATCACATGATCGGGACCTCGCATAGAGGTCCCATACAATGATCAGTGTTCCACTGTGGACACAGCAGGCACCGGATCGTGGTGCTGTGCGCTCCCAGGGAGTACGCATAAGCAGGGGGTGGGGAGGCCCTTTATATTCAACAGCCGGACGGGAGGTGGTTAATAGCAATAAGTCAAAAATATTTTTTTTTTCTCAAAATTGTCGGTTTTTTTTTTTTTTTTTTTTTTATAGTGCAAAAAATAAAAAACTGCACAGACGCTCAAATACTACCAGAAGAAAACTCAATTTGTGGGGGAAAAAAAGAATGCAAATTTAATTTGGATGCAGCCTTGCATGACCGCGCAATTGTCAGCTAACATAATACAGCACCGTAACGCAAAAAAATGGCCTGGTCAGGAAGGGGGGTAAATCCTGTGGAGGGCAAGGGGTTAAGGTGTCCAACCTCCAAGGACACGATATCTGGGGGAATCCCTGATCTCTCATCCACAACCAGCACTTCCACTGTTCTTGACTGTCAGTGCCGAGCAAGTAAATGAATTGTCAAAAGGCGCACAGGGTCCATGTTGGCTTTAACTTGAGAAATATATCCAGTGTAATGGAGAATGTCATCTCCCACAACAGGCTCCATTCACAGTATTAACCCAAAGAGAAGGATCTTTATTTTTAACCATGTGAGTGTAATCTTAAAATTTCAGTTGGTTGAGCTGAAAGTAAAAGTGACTTAAAAAAAAAAAAAAAAAGTATCCTTATCTCATCTTATCTCACTGCTGTTTACTTAGGCTACGTTCACACTAGCTTTGTCAGCAGGCGTCAGACAGGCGTTTGGGAAGCGTTTTTAAGCGGGAAGAATGCTCCTTCCATTGGTGGTCAGCGGAAAGAATGCTCCTTCCACTGGTGGTCAGCGGGAAGAATGCTCCTTCCACTGGTGGTCAGCGGGAAGAATGCTCCTTCCACTGGTGGTCAGCGGGAAGAATGCTTCTTACATTGGTGGTCAGCGGAAAGAATGCTCCTTCCATTGGTGGTCAGCGGGAAAGAATGCTCCTTCCATTGGTGGTCAGCGGAAAGAATGCTCCTTCCCATTGGTGGTCAGCGGGAAAGAATGCTCCTTCCACTGGTGGTCAGCGGAAAGAATGCTCCTTCCACTGGTGGTCAGCCGGAAAGAATGCTCCTTCCACTGGTGGTCAGCGCGGAAGAATGCTCCTTCCATTGGTGGCGAGCAGGGAAAGAATGCTCTTTCCATTGGTGATCAGTGGAAAAGAATGCTCCTTCCACTGGTGGTCAGCGGAAAGAATGCTCCTTCCACTGGTGGTCAGCGGGAAGAATGCTCCTTCCATTGGTGGCAGCGGGAAGAATGCTCCTTCCATTGGTGATCAGTGGGAAAGAATGCTCTTTCCATTGGTGGTCAGTGGGAAGAGAATGCTCTTTCCATTGGTGGTCAGCGAAAAGAATGCTCCTTACATTGGTGGTCAGCGGAAAGAATGCTCCTTACATTGGTGGTCAGCGGAAAGAATGCTCCTTACATTGGTGGTCAGCTGGAAGAATGCTCCTTCCACTGGTGGTCAGCGGAAAGAATGCTCCTTACATTGGTGGTCAGCGGAAAGAATGCTCCTTACATTGGTGGTCTCAGCTGGAAGAGAATGCTCCTTCCACTGGTGGTCAGCGGAAAGAATGCTCCTTCCATTGGTGGTCAGCGGAAAGAATGCTCCTTCCATTGGTGATCAGTGGAAAAATGCTCCTTCCACTGGTGGTCAGCGGAAGAATGCTCCTTCCATTGGTGGTCAGCGGAAAGAATGCTCCTTCCATTGGTGATCAGTGATGCTCCTTCCAGTGGGAAGAATGCTCCTTCCACTGGTGGTCAGCGGGAAAGAATGCTCCTTCCATTGGTGGTCAGCGGAAAGAATGCTCCTTCCATTGGTGATCAGTGGGAAGAATGCTCCTTCCACTGGTGGTCAGTGAGAAGAATGCTCCTTCCACTGGTGGTCAGCAAGAAGAATGCTCCTTTCACTGGTGGTCAGTGGGAAGAACGTCCCTTACATTGGTGGCAATCGGGAAGAATCCCCCCCTTACAGACAGCTGCAAACATCAGTGGTATCAGGGGAAACCTATTTGAAAGGCAGAAACTGCTCATTGCCCAAGGATTTCCTAGCACCCTCTGGAGAAACCCTGGTGGAGAAAGGCCGATTTAGAATACCACATCCAGTTGTACCTCCAATTTTCACCGTGAAGTCTTCTGCAACCATACAGTTCCTGGCGGCAAGGTCTCGGTGAACAAATTTGTTTGCATTGAGGTATGCCATCCCATCAGCAATCTCTCCCGCCATCTGGATCATCTTTTTCAGTGAGGGGGGTGGTTGTCCAGGGTTGTTCTAAATTGGAAAGATTAATGTGAAAATTAAACAGTCATCTGATAATATTACAGCATTAATGAGACACCTAAATAGAGGGTGGCTGGAGGACCTCAGTGATGAGGAACGACTGCAAATATTAAACTTGATTTCCCTGATGAAGAGGTGCTTAAGATGGGATATGATCACAAAATACAAATCTTTAAAGAGGTATTAAACCAAAAGGCAAGATAAATTCCGCTGCTGAGAATGTTAATGTAATAAAATGTACAGTAGGTTGGATTGTAGCAAAGTCCGATTTTCCCTTGTGGACTCACTAATTCGCTAGCAAGGACAGTTAAACCAGTGATAACTCCAAAAGCGATTATTATATTGCAGCTTACCAATTCTTAGATGTGCATTAGTTTTGTTTATTTAGACTTACTTTTTTCCTATTTTCATCTGGTGATCCAGTAAGTAAGTCTGTTTTTTTTTTTTTTCTTTTAAAGAACAAGCTCTCCTGCTGATTTATCAGGATACAAGGATGAGACAAACCATTTACCATTGATAAGGGTGCTTACAGTGATAAGATTTTGTTTATTCATCTAATACCTTTATCCCAAAAGAAAAAAAAAATGGTTTGCTGTAATTGATAACATATTAGCCGAGTTCAACTTTAATTTGTTAGTGTATTTAAATCTGCTAACACATCCAACACTCCCCTCCCCCCAGAATAACAATGCTGCTGTCCAACGTTCCCCCTGTGCTTCTTCCTCCAGAGTGGTGATACAGTGTGTTACTGTCCAGACCACCAGATGAAAAACAGAGAGAAAAAAAAGACTAAAAAAAGAAAACTAATGCATCCACCACATCTAATAATTGGAATGATTAAAAACCGCTTTAGTCCGGGTTCACATACATGCGGTTCAGTACATTGCATGTGATCGCACAGGAACCGCACCGCACCGCACTCCTGTGCAAATCACATGCGGTTTGTGTGCGGTGCGATCGGAGCCGTACATTTTGTATGACTCTATTCGCACCGCACCAAAAAGATGCAGGAACCTTTTTTTGGGTCCGCACTAGAATCGGATTGCATGGGTATTCACACCCATGCGATCCGATTCTGCACATCGCACCGCGTTTTGTGGACTGATTTTGGGGTGTTGTTAACATACACACCCGCAGCGGTTCGCATGAACGGGGTGCGATTCTAATGTGTGGAATTCGCTCAGAAAACGCTGCAAATTAGGCACCGCATCAGTGTGAACCCGGGCTCAGACTAGGTTCACCCATATGCAGTTTGCATTTGATCCGTTTCTTCAGTGCTTTCTACTGTGTGTTTTTGATGCGTTTTGCATTTCTATGTTTTTTTGCCAACTTGTAACAGGGCAGATTAAAAACGCATCAAAAACGCACTACATGCATTTCTGCAGCACCTCAATCGAAGTCTATTGAACCAAAACACAATATTTGGGTTTAAAAAAAGTGAAGGAGCCTACTGAGCATGCTCCGAAATGCATTACCGCCTCCCTTCACCTCCTACATCCGACTCTGCTCTCCAAGCCTCATTTTGATGCACAGGCACATCCTGGACTCTGCTTCCTGATCCTATAGACAGAGTTTGCTGCTGGATGTCCCACCTGGATCTAATTACCACACGATGAGTCTTTTTAACGATTTATCTTGTAAGTGCAATTTATCCATTATTTACTAAATAAATTGTCAATACTGCACTTATGCAGGCCATAGACGGGCCGTTTATCGGCCAAATTGTCAGCCGATAAAGGAAAAATTGGTCGTTGCCGATGTTGCCACCAATTGTCTATGAAAAACGGCCATTTTTTGTGGATTTTCCAGCATGACCGATAGAAAGAAATGAGAAGATCCACGAAAAAACGGCCGACGGCATTGCCCCACTAACGGCGTGAATATCGGCCAATTTTTTCGTGCGGACGAAAATTCGGCCGATAAACGACCAGTCTATGGCATGCATTAGAGGCGCTTTCCTCTCTTTTTCATTTAAAAAAAGTCCCTGACCCTTTCAAAAAAACACAGATGTGAACGTCTCCCATAGGAAATCATGTTAAATGGACTGTAGTGCGTTTCTGCAAAACGCACCGCACAACACTTAGAGGGATTCCAGGTATGGATATTTTACACATTGTTACATTGATCCAGCTTATACCAATGCAGGGGCCATTTGGAAACTCGGGCACTGCCCAAGGGCCCCGCGTCAGTAGGGGGCCCATGAGATGCCCCTGGTACCTTTTTCATAGGCTTTTTTGAGTTTGGGCAAGGACACAGGGGCCCCATGAGTTGTCAGTCCGCCCCTGTACCAATGTAACTATGTACAGGTATATACCATACCATACCTGGCCCCTGTGAACACCACTACTCCAGAGATCTGCATTCGCTTTCAGGTCTCATGCCAAGCGGCTGCCCTACTGCTTATTGAATACAGGATTGGCTGCTCGGCACGGGCACCATTCAGAGAGCTCTTTGCATTTTCTGATCGCATGCACAACATCCTCTGATTGGACGAGGTGCCGAGCGTGATCTGCGTTACCTGCTCTGTGTGAATAACTCAGAAAATACTGAAGCCATTGAATCGGCATGACAGCCAAGCAAGCAGAATTTCCATCAGTGGTCAGCAATGGTAGCCTATGAAGTTCACTCCATGACTTTGCACTTCAATTCTAATGCAGGCCATAGACGGGTTGTTTATCGGCCGATATTCACACCGTTAGTGGGGCAATGTCGTCGGTCGATGTTCGCGGTTTTTCTCGTTTCTTTTTAGCGGTCATGCTGGAAAATCTATGAAAAAACGGACGTTTTTCGTAAGCATTGGTGGCAGCATTGGCCGATTTTTCATTTATCGGCCAAATTTAAACGTCTTGTCTCTGGTCTGCATTAGTTTACACCTATGAAGGTTGCGTTTGAGGCGTTTCTGCATTGCGTTTTTTTTTTTTTTCATTTTATTTTTTTTGTTGCTAGGCAGATTTTAAACGCAAAACGCTTCAAAAACACGGCAAAAACGCAATACATGCTTTTCTGCAGCATTGCCATTGAACTCTATAGAACCACCACCCTCTGTCATTCCCTCCATTGGCTTCTGATTGCCCAACGCATAAAATTCAAACTACTAACATTGACATACAAAGCCATTCATAACACTGCCCCAAACTACCTCACCGACCTGATATCCAAATACCACCCAACACGTACTCTTCGCTCCTCAAAAGACCTCCTACTCTCTAGCTCCCTGGTTTTTCCTCCTCCCATGCCCGACTCCAGGACTTCTCCAGGGCTTCCCCCATCCTCTGGAACTCACTACCCCAATCCATCAGACTGTCATCTACCCTCCTAACCTTTAGGCGCACCCTGAAAACCCTCCTCTTCAGGGAAGCCTACCCCACCCTCAGCTAATTACTGACCTCCTCCACTCTTCCTACCACTCCATCCCCCACAGTTATTTCCTCCTGTACCACTCTCCCCTCCCTCCTAGATTGTAAGCACCAAAGAGCAGGGCCCTCGAACCCCTCGTGTAATGAATCGTATTGTTGCTGTATTGTCTCCCATCATATTGTAAAGTGCTGAGCAAACTGTTGGCGCTATATAAATCCTGTATAATAATAATCGCAGAGTGGAGGTTGTGATAGGTGGAGGGGGGGGAGTGGAGGTTGTGATAGGTGGAGGGGGGGGAGTGGAGGTGTGGGGGGAGTGGAGTGGAGGTTGTGATAGGTGGAGGGGGGGAGTGGAGGTTGTGATAGGTGGTGGTGGAGTGGAGGGGGGGAGGGGTGGGGGGGAAGGGGTGGAAGTGGAAGGGGTGTAAGGGGGGGGGGGGGGGTGTAAGGGGGGTGTAAGGGGGGGGGGGGGGTGTAAGGGGTGTAAGGGGGGGGGGGGGGGGGGGGTGTAAGGGGTGTAAGGGGGGGGTGTAAGGGGTGTAAGGGGGGGGGTGTAAGGGGGGGGTGTAAGGGGTGTAAGGGGGGGGGTGTAAGGGGTGGAGGGGGGGGATAGGGGTGGATATATTTTAATATTTTGATATATTGTTAAGTATGTATATGTTCTTTGCTTTGTTTCTTTTTTCTTTGTGATAGGTGGTGGTATGGTGGGGGGGGGGGGGGAGGAAGGGGTGGGGGGGGAAGGGGTGAAAACCCTGAAAACACATCACTTTAGGGAAGCCTAACCCGCCCTCACCTAACAGCCAATCTCCTCCACTCCTCCTACCACAGCCACTTCCTCCTGTACCACTCTCCCCTCCCTCCTAGATTGTAAGCTCCAAGGAGCAGGGCCCTCGAACCCCTCGTGTATTGTATTGTTACTGTATTGTCTCATGTTCTGTCCCCCACTATAATGTAAAGCGCTGAGCAAACTTTTTGGCGCTATATAAATACTGTATAATAATAATAATAATAACCAAAAACGAAGTTTTGCGATCAAAAAAGTCCCTGATCCTTTCCAAAAAACGCACCAGGTGAAAACGCAGAGATGTAAACCTGTCCCATAGGAAATCATGTTAAATGGACTGCTGTTCATTTCCGCAAAACGCTGCAGAAACCGCATAGGTGTGAACCTGGGGTACTGATCCATTTCCACTAGATTGATGGAAAAGGTTCACCTCAACCTGCACCTTCTATTGTGTACAAAACGCAGGACTGACAATAGAGACAGTGTTACTGAAATACTTTATAGGAGGAAGAAGAAGAAGTAGAAGAAGAAAAAAAAAAAAAAAAAAGTTCAGCCTCAGACTGCCAGTGACTTTTTTTTTTTCTTTCCTTTTCAAATCAAGGCCGTCGGGAGGCAGCCTGTCATTACGCTGACCGAAGCGTCTACTTAGTGGGAACGCTGCATGCTCTGGACTCTGCCACATCAAGTGACTATACAAAGTGAAACACCACTTATGGATCAGGCAGCTATTTTCAGGAGGAGGAAATATAAACAAGTTTTATTAAAGCGGACCTATGCTCAGTCACAGTATTGCTTTGATAAATAAAGAGCAACAGGGAGGCCGAAAGATCCATCTCTCATGGAGAGAGTGC